TGCGCCCCTGTAATCCCAGCTACTCAGGAGGCTGAGACCACAGAATCGATTGAACCCAGCAGGCGGAGGTTACAGTCAGCCGAGACAGCACCACTGAACTCCAGCCTGGGCAACACAGTGAGACTGTATCTCAAAAATAAATAAATTAATTAATTTAATTAATATAAAATAAAAAGAAAATACTAAGAGATGGGGTCTCGCTCTATCACCCAGGCTGCAGTGCAGTGGGGGGAAATCTGAGCTTCAGTTGGACAGCTGATGGTACCAACGAAAAGCTGTTTGCTTTTTTCAGTTGTGACATTAGACTGGTGGCTTTTGTTTTTAAAACACGCTGAGCTACCCACTGAAATATTTACAGCTGAAATGAGAGGATGCTGGCTGGGATTTGCTCCAAAACATTGGTGGGGGGCGGGGGGGGTGCAGGGAGAGGGCATGTTGGGGAAGCCAGCCTGGTCCAGAAGGTTGTTGAGGCTGACAGTGGGTTTCAACCAGGCAGAGCTCTTTGCTCCATTTCTGGATACATTTGAACATTTCTGTAATTAAAAAATAATGCCTGTGCTCACCACCCCACAGGCTGTCAGAGTTGAACCCAACACTTTTGCTTCACGAGCTACCAAGGGGTAAAAGGAGATGCTCCTTTGGAAAATGCTGAGCACAGAGTCACAAGTGCTGGTCCAGGGACGGCAGCAGCCCTGCTCTGTGACCAGGTGGCCTCTTTTCCTCCAGGATCCGCTGGAGGCAGATCCCCAGATCCCCAGAGAGGCAGCCCTGCGGGTTCTGCTGTCTCCATTTTGGAACTCCGTGTCAACAAAGTCTCAAAGTGAATGTGAATGGACAGGCGTCCCTCAATCTGGCATGCTGGCTCACCTCTCCTCCTGAAGCTTCCCGGGCCCCAGCAGAGATGCCCTGCTGATGCTCACAGAGCCTTCCCCTGCACCAAGAGCACCTGTTCCCTGAAAGTGAAACATCGACCCTCTGCCCCATGACTGAAAAACCATCCATATTCAGCCACTTAGACTCACAGAAGGTAATTCACGGAGTTCAGCTGATGAGGCAGCCTCTGCTGGGTGATGACTTAAGTGGGCAGTGCCGAGCTCTGCTCCAGGCCAAACAGCGCACCCTCCATGCACAGGCCCAGGTGGACAGCTGACCAAGGGCCAGCCCCTGCTGCCACCGCTCAGGGAGAGCCTGGCCTCTCCATTCTCAGAGACCCACCAACTCCAGCGGAGCCACCACTGCAGGAGCTCAGGCTGGTGAGGTCACAGGTGACAGGTCACCAGGACAGTCATCAGGAGAACCAAACCCCGTCAGCAGCCCATGCGGCCCAGCCCCTCTCTGCCCAGGCTGGCTCTATGCAACCTAAGACTCATGGGGAGACAGAGTCACTCCACGGCACAGCCGCAGTGTCACCAGAGCTGTCCTCAGAACCACTGGTGTCCAGTCCTCAGGGTCCCGAGAAAGCGTGCATGTGCACGCACACGATTTACTACTGCCGTGCACGGGCATGCACACACACATGGTTAACCACCAGTGCACACGGGAATGGACACGCACACACAGGGTTAACCGCCACTGCACATGGGCACACACATGCACATACAAGGTTAACTACCAGTGGAGACACACACACACACACACACACACAAGGTTAACCACCATAGCACATGAGTGTGTGTGCACACACACATACAGTTAACCACCACTGCACACACACACACACACACACACAGTTAACCACCACTGCACATGGGCACACACATGCACACACAGGATTAACCACCGCCACACACACACATGCACACACAGGATTAACCACCGCCACACATGCACATGCACACACAGGATTACTACTGTTCATGCATGCACACACACACACAGGGTTAATTACCGCTACACACGCACACAGTATTTACTGCCGCACACATGCACACAGGGTTAACCACGCCACACATGGGCACACACACAGGGTTAATTACCACTACACACACATGTACGTGCACACAGGGTTAACCACTGCTGCACACGCACACTGGGTTAACTACCACTGCACATGTGCAGCACACACAGGGTTAACTACTGCTTCACATGCACACACACGTGCACATGGGGTTAACCACTGCTGCACACGCACACGCACACTGGGTTAACTACCACTGCACACATGCACACACAGGGTTAACTACTGCTTCACATGCACACACACCTGCACATGGGGTTAACCATTGCTGCACACGCACACGCACACTGGGTTAACTACCACTGCACATGTGCAGCACACACAGGGTTAACTACTGCTTCACATGCACACACACCTGCACATGGGGTTAACCACTGCTGCACACGCACACGCACACTGGGTTAACTACCACTGCACACATGCACACACAGGGTTAACTACTGCTTCACATGTACACACACGTGCACATGGGGTTAACCATTGCTGCACATGCACACGCACACTGGGTTAACTACCACACGCACACGCACACTGGGTTAACTACCACTGCACATGTGCAGCACACACAGGGTTAACTACTGCTTCACATGCACACACACGTGCACACAGGGTAAACCACTGCTGCACATGCACACGCACACTGGGTTAACTACCACTGCACATGTGCAGCACACACAGGGTTAACTACTGCTTCACATGCACACACACGTGCACATGGGGTTAACCACTGCTGCACATGCACACGCACACTGGGTTAACTACCACTGCACACATGCACACACAGGGTTAACTACTGCTTCACATGCACACACACGTGCACATGGGGTTAACCAATGCTGCACATGCACACACACACCGGGTTAACTACCACTGCACACATGCACACACAGGGTTAACTACTGCTTCACATGCACACACACGTGCACATGGGGTTAACCAATGCTGCACATGCACACGCACACTGGGTTAACCACCACTGCACACATGCACACACAGGGTTAACTACTGCTTCACATGCACACACACCTGCACATGGGGTTAACCACTGCTGCACACGCACATGCACACGCACACTGGGTTAACTACCACTGCACACATGCACACACAGGGTTAACTACTGCTTCACATGCACACACACGTGCACATGGGGTTAACCACTGCTGCACACGCACACGCACACTGGGTTAACCACCACTGCACATGTGCACACACAGGGTTAACTACTGCTTCACATGCACACACACGTGCACATGGGGTTAACCACTGCTGCACACGCACATGCACACTGGGTTAACTACCACTGCACACATGCACACACAGGGTTAACTACTGCTTCACATGCACACACACCTGCACATGGGGTTAACCAATGCTGCACATGCACACGCACACTGGGTTAACTACCACTGCACATGTGCAGCACACACAGGGTTAACTACTGCTTCACATGCACACACACCTGCACATGGGGTTAACCATTGCTGCACATGCACATGCACACTGGGTTAACTACCACTGCACATGTGCAGCACACACAGGGTTAACTACTGCTTCACATGCACACACACCTGCACATGGGGTTAACCACTGCTGCACACGCACACGCACACTGGGTTAACTACCACTACACATGTGCAGCACACACAGGGTTAACTACTGCTTCACATGCACACACACGTGCACATGGGGTTAACCACTGCTGCACACGCACACGCACACTGGGTTAACTACCACTGCATACATGCACACACAGGGTTAACTACTGCTTCACATGCACACACACCTGCACATGGAGTTAACCACTGCTGCACACGCACATGCACACTGGGTTAACCACCACTGCACACATACACACAGTTTACTACCATGGTCAACTACTCACACACATGCATACACAGAGTTAATCACCACTGTACTCACACACACACACTGTTACCCATGGCCACACAAACATGAGCACACAGTTAACCATGCAGCACACACAGTCCAGTGCTGTGCACACACAGGCTCACTATCGTGCTCTGGCCTGGCCCAGGAGAACCCACAAGCCCATGTGGACTGGCCTGGGACCCTCCAGCACCAGGTGAGTGCACAGACACCACAGCACTGGTGACCAAGGACAGGACACCAAGATGACAGCCCTTCCAGCAAAGGCACCGACCATCTGGTCCAGAGTGTTGAAGAGACCCCACCTGGCAGGACACTCGGAAGGGAGTGACCTACCCGCCCCGCTCCTAAGCCCCTGCCCGTCATGACTGGGGGCTCCGTGTAGAGTTCAGAAGTGACTGGCTCTGGACATACAGCAGTGAAGCTTTTCTGCCCAGTAACACAAATTCCACCAGCTGTGTCGGCTGTGAAGACCACACGCAGGGGGGTCACTGGCATGGACTTCGGGACTCATCTGCCTGCTGCGGCCTTACTGGTAAGTGACCCCTTACTATTTAGATGTCACCACACAGCAGGGTGACTTCAGTGAACGCTCCGTGCCTCAGTTTCCACATCTGTAGAGCAGGGTGGGGAGGGAGGCTCAGGAGCGCTACGCCACGTGGGGCAGGGCCTGCGAGCCCTCCTGTAAGAATCTCTGCCATTCTCACTATGCAGAGCCCAAAGCCTTGTCCGAGGCCCGTGGACGCAGGAGCACACGGCCCCACCTCCCTCCTGGACACACAAACCAACCAGAACAAACTAAGATTTCAGAGTCCTTCCAAAAGCTCTGAAAAAGTCTGAGCCTCCCATTGCGAATGCAAGGGACCAATTTACTGAAATTATTACCATTTTCTTGGAACATTTCACTCCTTTTCCCCTGAGACTCCTTTACCCCACTGGGAAAAGGCCCTCATCCCAACCCCCTGGAGCAGTCTTGAGTGCTGGCTTAGCAGAGCCGCCATGGAGGCTCAAACACAGAGGCAGAGACCTCGCCAGGACAAGCCACGCCGGAGCCACAGCTGCCCAGGGCTCACGTCCAGCCGGCATGGGTCTCCGTCCCCACCTCAGCCACCCGCCCCACCTTGTCCCACACCTCCAGGCGCTTTCTGGTACTCACGTAAGAGGTGTTTTTCCAATAAGGCAATTTCCAGGTGACCTTTTATCTCATTCAGTCGATCATACTCTGTCCAGTTAAAGTCCTGGACTCCTGTGGCCATGATGAGGGTCCCTGGACCAGCCTAGAAGAAAAATACCAACAGCTCAGAGGGGCCACCTGTGGCACCCTGGGTCTCCACCACTTGGTTCCCCCAGATGTGCCCAGGGGCCCCAGGATGGCAGAAGCAGCATCTGAAAAGGAACAGCAGCTGCAGCCTCTGGACACAAAACCGTCAGATGGGGTGATGGAGCCCCCAGCGTAAGACCTGTGTCTGCCCACCCAGCCTCCTCTGTTGGGGGCAGCGACATTTCAGACAATGTGGATATCCTCAGAGCCCCTGTAAGGCTGACTCTACGAAATATCTTAAAAATTAAAACTGGGTGAGTGGCACTGTCTCTTGATGGTTGTGGTCCTCCTGATCTTGGGCTGCAGAGGGAAGAAAACCCTGGAACTGTGCTGGCCCCGTGTGTCTGGCTGGCCGTGCCAGAACCAGGCCCTCCCCAGGCCCTCCCACCTGAGCGGAGGCTGGGGGCGCCTCCATGGGCCAGGCTGAGTAGGTCGGAGAGAATGGCCCATGGGCAGAAGGGTCTGCGGAACTGAGGTTAGCGAACTCCAAACAGGGGCCTCCCCTGTCTGCTTCACAAAAACCCTGCTCACTGCCCCAGCGAGCCAGGATGGGCTCGGGTTACAGGCCACAGTTGCCTGATGCCTGGAGCTCAGGGGCTGGGCACAGGCAGCAGCTCCACATCCTGCTGACGGAACAGAAAGCAGAGTCCATGCCTGGCACAGCCAAGCCTGCCTGGGCCCCACACTGGACACCACACAGTCACCCTCCACGACGCATCCTGCCAGGGACTGGTGAGGGCCAGCACATGAGTGAGTGCCCCAGCACAGGACAGCAGGGGCCCGATCTCTCCACCTGGGTCTCTAGACCTCCTCCTCCAGGGCTAGGAAACTCGTGTGCGGCTTTGACGAGACCACGAGGAGCAGCACGGCAATGGCTCCTTGGACGTGTATCACCCACGCTGTGGCCTCAGCCCAGGAAGAAGGCGCCGGCTTCGGAAACCAGAGGCTTCTGGGCTGGCTGTGGCTGCCCCGCTCTGGGTGCCCGACCTCCCACACTTTCAGCTACTCTGGCTGCTGGGGCACAAGTTCTGGGGGCGGGGGTGGGCGGAAACAGGGTGATTCCATCTGTCCTGCCCACTGGAAGGGCCTGTGGATGCTGCTTCAGGTCCATCTCGGCACTGACAGATGAGGAACAGACATGGGCCGCTGTTCTGGGAGGGAGGCCAGCGGAGCCAGGTGCTGGGAGCTGGGATCCCACAAGCACCCATCCAGGAGGACAGAACACATGCGGAAGGAAGGGTGCAGATATCTAGCTGCAATGTGGGCGTTTCTCTGCAAATTGCCCTTTTTGCTCTGCACCGAGAGGTCCCTCCATGAGGGGCACTTGCAGCTCCAGCTCTACCTGCATTGAGGCATGGCGCTCCCAGGCCAAGGAGACAATGCTGTATATGGTGGCCTCGAGGCCAGTGAACTTTTGGATGATTTCCAGGCTCATTGATCTGGTTTTTTTGTTTGTTTGTTTTTCGAGACTAAGTTTTGCTCTTGTTGCCCAGGCTGGAGTGCAATGGGGCAATCCTGGCTCACTGCAACCTCCACCTCCCAGATTCAAGCAATTCTCCTGCCTCAGCCTCCCAAGTAGCTGGAACTACAGGCACTCACCACCGTGACTGGCTAATTTTGTATTTTTAGTAAAGACGGGGTTTCTCCATGTTGGTCAGGCTGGTCTCCAACTCCCGACCTGAGGTGACCCGCCCACCTCAGCCTCCTAAAGTGCTGTGATTACAGGCATGAGCCACCTCGTCTGGCCCATTGGTCAGGTTTTTAAAGATCAAAGTGTGGTGGCCAGGTGTGGTGGCGCACGGCTATAATCCCAGAACTTTAGGAGGCCAAGGCTGGAGAACTGCTTGAGCCCAGGGGTTCAAAACCAGCCTTGGCGACATAGTGAGGCTCTGTCTCTACAAAATAATTTTTTAAAGATTAGCCAGGCGCCAAGCTCGGTGGCTCACGCCTGTAATCCCAGAATTTTAAGAGGCTGAGGCGGGCGGAACACGAGGTTAAGAGATTGAGATCATCCTGGCCAACATGGTGAAACCCCGTCTCTACTAAAAATACAAAAATTAGCTGGGCGTGGTGGCACATGCCTGTAATCCCAGCTACTCAGGAGGCTAAGGCAGGAGAATTGCTTGAACCCAGGAGGCCAAGGTTGTGGTGACCTGAGATCATGCCATTGCACTCCAGTCTGGGCAACAAGAGTGAAACTTCATCTCAAAAAAAAAAAACTGTTAGCCAGGCATGGTGGCATGTGTCTGTAGTCCTGGCTATTTAGGAGGCTGTGGCAGGAGGATCGCTTGTGCCAGAAGGCCAAGGCTGTGGTGAGCCAGGATCACATCACTGTACTCCAGCCTGGGCAACAGAGTGAGACTTCATCTCAAAAACAAAAAATGGTCAAAATCTACCAACTCCTGAATTCAAGGTATCGTGTAAAACAAGCTCACCCAAATAGGTTTCCTAGGAACGGCCAGTAGGCACTTCATTTGTCCCTCTGACCCAGTCTCTTTCACCTCCCAGTCCTTCGCTGAGCACCTCCTGTGTGCTGGACCCTGCTGGGTGCCAGGCCGGCCGAGGTAGCTCTGAGATGGCGGCTGGGCAGCAGCTCCGCAGCTTCTGCTGCCACCAGATCACCCCATTGCCCAAAGAAGCTGGAAATCCGAGTTCTGTGTGAAAGCTCCTGACTCGTAAAGGTCAGCTCCATTTAGTTTTCTTTTGCAACTCTGAGGACCAAACGAAACATAACTGCGGAGTGGGCTGGCCCTTGAGCTGCCAATTGCTGCCTCTCTTAGTGGAGAAGGTGGTGGGCTTTGGAGTGGGGGACTAAGTGGTGCCTCTGGACCTGGTTTCCTCTCAGAGCCCTGGTTTTGCCATCTGTGACATGGAAGTGACCTTGAAGGTATTATGACCTTCTCGTAGGCAAAACCAGTCATTCAGCAAGTATTTCCCAACAGAGGGCTGGGGGTCAGAGCCTGAAAGGGTGTGGGAGGAGTGCACGTTGAATAAAAAACAGGTACTAGGAGCTGGGCTGGGCTCATCGAGAGTCGCCCATTTAATCCTCAAGACAGCCTTTTTTTTCTCTCTCTCTTTTTTTGAGATGGAGTTTTGCTCTCGTTGCCCAGGCTGGAGTGCAATGGTGAGATCTTGGCTCACCGCAACCTCCACCTCCCAGGTTCAAGCAATTCTCCTGCCTCCGCCTCCCGAATACCTGGGATTACAGGCATGTCCAGCTAATTTTGTATTTTTAGTAGAGATAGGGTTTCTCCATGTTGGTCAGGCTGGTCTCGAACTCCTAACATCAGGTGATCCCCCCCACCACCTCGGCCTCCCAAAGTGCTGGGATTATAGGTGTGAGCCGCTGTGCCCAGCCAAGACAGGTGTCCCAACACTGGGAAGAGGCTAGCCAGGAGCCAACCTCGGACAATTCTCTTCCAGGCACCACACCAGGATTGCAGACAGGGATACCAAGACACACCCGGGAGGAAGGATGACGCTGGTGGTCCCGCGTGGCTGAGGCACAGCAGCCTGGGATGAGCTGGCAGGCTGCAGCCGCCTGGTGAAGAGCCTTGAATGCCTGATGCTTAGTTGGTGCTTAATAAGGGTTGGTAATGGTGATGTATGAATACAACTGACCCTCAAGCCTGGGCACAGTGGCTCAAGCCTGTCATGTTAGTACTTTGGGATGCTGAGGCGGGCAAATCACCTGAGGTCAGAAGTTCGAGACCAGCCTGGCCAACGTCGTAAAACCCCATCTACTAAAAGTACAAAAAAATTAGCTGGGTATTCTGGCAGTCACCTGTAATTCAGCTACTCAGGAGGCTGAGGCAAGAGAATTGCTTGAACCTGGGAGTCGGAGGTTGCAGTGAGCCGAGATCATGCCATTGCACTCCAGCCTGGGTGTCAGAGCGGGAATCCATCTCAAAAAAATATATATATATACAGTTGGCGCTTGAATAACATGGGTTTGGACTTCAAGAGTCCACTTCTGTTGTTTTTTTTTTTTTTTTTTTTTTTTTTGAGATGGAGTCTTGCTCTTGTCGCCCAGGGTGCAGTGCAATGGCATAATCTCGGCTCACTGAAACCTCTGCCTCCTGGGTTCAAGCAATTCTTCTGCCTCAGCCTCCTGAGTAGATGAAAGTACAGGCATGTGCCACTATGCCCAGCTAATTTTGTATTTTTTAAGTGGAAATGGGGTTTCACCATGTTGGTCAGGCTGGTCTCAAACTCCTGACCTCAGGTGATCCACCAATGACCCACTTCTATGCAGATTTTTTTCGCCTCTGCCACTCCTGAGACTGTAAGACCCCCCCATTCCTTTTCTTCCTCCTCAACCTACTCAATGTGAAGATGATGAGGATGAAAACCTTTATGATGAGTCACTTCCACTTAATGAAGATCAACTAGACTTTCTATTTCTTAAGGTTTTATTTTTTCTCCTTTTCTTGTTAGAGACAGAGTCTCACCCTGTTGCCCAGGCTGGAGTGCAGTGGTGCAATCATAGCTCACTACAGCCTCAATCTCTGGGGCTCGAATGATTCTACCTCAGCCTCCCAAGTATCTGGTCACAGGAACTTGGGCAGGTGAATCACTTGAGATCAGGAGTTCAAGACCAGCCTAGCCAACATGGTGAAACCCCATCTCTACTAGAAATACAAAAATTAGCCAGGCATAGTGGCAAGCACCTGTATTCTCAGCTACTCAGGAGGCTAAGGCAGGAGAATTGCTTGAACCTGGGAGTCAAAGGTTGCAGTGAGCTGAGATTGTGCCACTGCACTCTAGCCTGGGCAACAGAGCAACTCTATCTTAAAAAAAAAAAAAAAAAAATCAAAAACACCAAGTAGCTGGAACTAGAGATACACACCACCACACCTGGCTTTTTTTTGGGGGGGGCGCGGGTAGAGATACGGTCTGTCTATGTTACCCAGGCTTATCTCCAATTCCTGCGCTCAAGCAGTCCACCTGCCTCAGCCTCCCAACGTGCTGAGATTACAGGCGTGAGCCACTGTGCCCAGCCAGATTATCTTAATAACATTTTCTTTTCTCTAACTTACTTTATTGTAAAAGACTATAGTATATAATACATATAAAACACAAAATACTTGTTAATCAACTGTTTTCACAGTCAACAGTAACTTATAGTTAAGGCTGGGCGAGGTGGCTCATACCTGTAATCACAGCACTTTGGGAGGCTGAGGCAGGCGGATCATTTGAGGTCAGGGGTTTGAGACCAGCCTGGGCAAAATGGCAAAACCCCGTCTCCACTAAAAAATACAAAAATTAGCCTAGTGTGGTGGCAGGCACCTGTAATCCCAGCTACTCAGGAGGCTGAGGCAGGAGGATGTTTTGAGCCCGGGAGGCGGAGGTTGCAGTGAGCCAGATTGCACCACTACACTCCAGCCTGGGCTACAGAGCAGGACTTGGTCTCAAAAAAAAGTTATTGGTAGCTGAGTTTTAGGGGAGTCAAAAAGTTATACCTGGATTTTCGACTGCATGGGGGCATCACCACCTCACCCCCACCCCGCATTGTTCACGGGTCAGCTGTAAATGAATGTGCAATATGGAGCCGGGAAGCTGCTGAGGTGGGAACTCCTGCCTCTGATTAAACGTGCCTGTGAAATGCTGGCAATAGTGGTTCCCAGGAAGAGTGAAGCGCTGGGCATTGGGCTGGATTTTGTGTCTGTCACTCCAGATCCTCAAGCCGCCCTTCCACCCACTGCCCCATGCCCAGGATGCTGACCTCTGGGGACCATATCAACCCAACTCCCTTGCCACTTCCAGCTAGGTTCAGCCTTTGGTGTCACCAGTGGAACAGAAGGTCGGGGCCAGTGCTATGCTGGTAAATGCTAACAACCAGCTCCCTGCAGGAATGCCCTGATCTCTAGTGTCTGCCTATGTCCCTGGTATAAATACTCCCACTGCAGGTAGAGATGGTGTCACAGATGGATGGGGGATGACATGGTGTTGTCATGGGCCCTAGTGTTGCCACGTCAGTGTTTCCATAGGCCCTGGGCCATGGGGGAAGGTGGCGTGGTGTGTAGAGGTGTGTTCCAGGCGCTGGCGTGGGGATGGGCTGGGGCTTTCACAGCAGCTGGTCCTTCTCTGTGCTTGGACCCCCATCTATCAAGTGGGGATGACAATCATGCTTCTTCCTGCCTCCTGTTGAGGGGTTCATGTGCAACAGGCACAGTCCTGCCTGGCCCAGTACCTGGGGCCAATGAGTCTTCAGTAACAGCAGCCATGGTGGTGACCATCGCCTGGGTCCCTACTCATACCCCAGGCTGGCTGACCAGGCTCAAGGACAGCCTGGAGTCGGGGAGCTGCTGGAGGGGTCCACTGGGAAGGAGGCAGCGGCCAGTAGGATGGGGAAGTTGCAAGGTAGCTATCTTTAGCACCTTCCCTCACAGCCATTTTCCTTTGCCAGGCTAAGTGGGAATCTGGTGCGAGCCGATGGGAAAGCGTCACTTCTCCATAGCCACATGAAGCTCAGTGACCTGGAGGCCTGCTGTGGAGGCTCAGAGCCCAGCGAGGGTGGGGCTGGCTGTAGTACCCGGCTCCTGGGGGCCTCATCCATAAAGAAGCACAAAAGCCCAGCTAAGCACAGAAACTCATGCCTGTAATCCCAGCACTTTGGGAGACCGAGGTGGGTGGATCACCTGAGGTCAGGAGTTCAAGACTGGTCTGGCCAACATGGTGAAACCCCATCTCTACTAAAAAAATACAAAAATTAGCCGGGTACAGTGGCATGCACCTGTAGTCCCAGCCACTCGGGAGCCTGAGACAGAATTGCTTGAACCCAGGAGTTGGAGGTTGGAGGTTGCATGCAGTGAGCCGAGGTGGGTGACACTCCAGCCTGGGTGAGACTTCATCTCAAAAAAAATTTAAAAAAAAGCAGGGGCCTATTGTAGGAGCCTGGGAGACGGTCAGGGGCCAAGGAGCATGGGAGGTCAAAGTGGCTACTGGAAACATTGTCCCTCCAGTCCTCACCCAGAGCCTTCGCAGCCCTCCTCCATGAGGGCAGGGCTGTGTGATGGTTGTGCGCTCGTGTCTGGAGCCTGGATTTTATATCCTTGCCTCGCTACTCCTGAGAGTCTGACCTCAGGGTCTTGACTTAACCTTGCTGGACGTCAATTTCCTCCCTATGAAAACAGAAGTAATGCCTGGCACGGCGGCTCGTGCCTGTAATCCCAGCACGTTGGGAGGCTGAGGTGGGTGGATCACGAGGTAGAAGTTCGAGACCAGCCTGGCCAATATGGTGAAACCCATCTCTAGTAAAAATACAAAAATTAGCTGGATGTAGTGGTGCATGCCTGTAGTCCCAACTGCTCGGGAGGCTGAGGCAGGAGAATCGCTTGAACCCGGGAGGCGGAGGTGGCATTGAGCCGAGATTGCGTCACTGCACTCCACCCCAGGCAACAAGATCAAGACTTCATCTCAAAAAGAAAAAGAAAAACAAAGACCAAGAGTTTGAGACCAGCCTGTGCAACATAACAAGACCCAGTCTCTACAAAACATGCAAAAATTAGCCAGGCATGGTGGCGCACGCCTGTAGTCCCAGCCACTCGGGAGGCTGAGGTGGGAGAATCACTTGAGCCTGGGAGGTCAAGGCTGCAGTAAGTCGTGATCACACCACTGCACACTCCTGCCCTAGGTGACAGAATGAGACCCTGTCTCAAAAAATAAAAATAAGGTAACCCTGAAAGTCTAGTACAAACCCTGGCACATAGTAGGTGTTCAACAAATGAGTCCTCTCCTTCTCCCTTAAGCCAGCATCCACTTTACCAATCCCTGGCAGCCTAGCGTGAGGGTGAAGAGACGCCTCGGCTCACATTGAACCCCACCAATCACACACTGTGTCCTGGGAAACTTACTCATCCACAAGCCCCGGTTTCTTACTGTGACATGGGATCATAACAGAACCTGCCTCAAGGAGTGAGCCTGAAGGCTTTTTCTCTATGTAAAATGCTCAGTGCCCGATACAGAGCAAGATGCTCAGTTATTGCTAACTGCGGTCCTGCGCACAGCCTTGTGGTGTGAGTGTTGCCGATTGTGGATGAGTGGCTGGGGAGGTTGGACTCTGGATGGTTCCTGGATGCTCCCTTCCTCCCTCACTCTCCGGCCTGTGGAGTTACAGCAGCGATCCCCTGTGATTTCACTTTCCTTGACCACAGTTTCCAGCAGCCAGCCACAGCCCAAAAATATTAAACAGAAAACTTCAGAAATAATTCATAATGTTACATAGCATGCCATTCTGAGTAGGGTGACGAAATCGCGCAGCAACGAGACTCGTTCCTCTGTCCAGTGTCTCCGCACAGTAGGCGTTCCCACCCTTGAGTCACTTCATAGCGCTCTTGGTGATCAGAGAGAAAAAGCCTAATCCACAGAGGTTCGGTACTATCCGGTTCCAGGAATCCACTGGGGGTGTCGGAGGGTAGGCTCGACGATAGGGAGGGCTACAGTAATTTCCTGCCTCCTGTGAGGTTTGCACCAGGCCTCTCTCCTATCGGTGACCTGGCCTGGGCTCCTGAGACTGCTCCTGAAAGGGAAGGAGGACAGGCGCAGTGGTTCTCGCCTATAATCCCAGCACTTTGGGAGGCCAAGACGGGTAGATCACCTGAGGTCAGGAGTTCAAGACCAGCCTGGCCAATATGGCAAAACCCTGTCTCTACTAAAAATACAGAAATTAGCTGGATGTGGTGGTGGGAGCCTGTAATCTCAGCTACATGAGAAGCTGAGGCAGGAGAATCACTTGAACCCAGGAGGCAGAGGTTGCAGCGAGCCCCAAGATTGCACCACTGCACATTCCAGCCTGAGCAACAGAGTGAGACTCTACTTCAGAAAAAAAAGAAAAGGGAAGGGGACTTTGGGATCCTGGGAACTGGCCAGGAGACAGGGCAGGGGGACCGCCAGAAGCTCCAGCAAGTAGCTGCGTTCTCACCTGGAGGAGGGTGGGCTGCCAGCTGCATGGGACTGAGCCCTCTGGGCAGGGGATAGAGGTGGAGCAGCACAGCCCTCACCAGCAAGGCCATCAGTGAAGATCCAGGCTCTCTAGAGAGCACTTTGCGGCGAGCCCACAAGGTGGTGGCCAGCCACCCACCGCTCCACACCCCTTGGCCATCCCCAAGTGAGCTAAGTCCCTGGCTCCGTCACACCTTTTAAGGCAAAGGCAGCTCCCGCCACCACCTCCCTGTTGCCACTTGCTCAGAAATTCCCAGCAGTTATTTTTTCTTTTTTTCAGGAGGAATGGAATGAGACTCCTTGTTCTGTCACCGCAGGATTCCGGCAAGGCCTGTCTAGGGGTTCTGGTGAAAGAAAAGTGACAGAAAACACATGCCAGCAGGCACTTGGAGATGCACCCTCAGTGACATGCACAGGCAGGACGGCCACCCCACCCACTACAGGCCTCTGCTGGGGACAGCCAGGCACACACACAGCACAGACAAGGCCTAGGGACGTGGGGACCCCCAGCACACTCCATCCAGTTGGGAACGAGGCAGGCACAGGCACAGCCCATAGCATAAAGCCCCTCCCCCCAGCTCATACCTAAGCCCAGGAGCCTCAGGGATTTTGCACTGTTCCCTGCCACGAGTGTTCCAGCACAGGGCTCTGTGGGCAGGACCCTTGACACCCTTCACATCTCAGAGAGGCCTCCCCTACCCGCCCCACGTGACTCCATCGCAGTGACCTGTTTTATTTCCTCAGAGCCGTCATCAGCTCTAAACTGCCTTGCTTTTTTCTTGAGACAGGATCTCGCTCCGTCACCCAGGCTGGAGTGCAGTGGCACAATCATGGCTCACTGCAGCCTTGACCTCCTGGGCTCAAGAGATCCTCCCGTATCAGCCTCCCAAAGTGTTGGGATTACAGGCTTGAGCCACCACACATGGCAGGCAAGAAAGAGGGGCTATGGGGCTTTCAACAGCAAAGGCTCAGCCCCCAGTCAAGCCAGGCTGCCCATGAGAAAGGCTTTCTGTGCACTTGGGCACATGTGAACAGGTATGGGTGTGATGCGAGCCTCCACCTGCGACGTGCAGGTGTGTCCTGAGCTTGGAAGCAGACAGACTACCCCTAGGGGCCTTTATTCTTTGTATCGTGTCATCCCAACCATACCCACAACCGGTAGCAAGGCCCGGCCAGGATATGTCAGACCAGCAAAACCTTTCCTACTTGGGCTGGGTGGGTAGCGGGGCTCTAAGTCCAGCCTAAGGGATAGGGAAGGGAGGGGACAGGCTGGGACCCCTGCCCACTCAGCATTCCCATCAGGACCAGATCATACCAGGGAGACAAGAGGCAGCATCCAGGAGACCAGACAACCAGATCTCAAACCCGGACCTTGGGACACTAGGTTGTAAGCCACTCCCGTGACTGCAGGGCATCCTGGGACCCTGCTCAATTCGCAACCCCTGGCAGGGCCCTCTTGCAGGGCAGGTGCCACACACCCCCTGGTGGCTCTAACCTGAAGTGCAGCTCGACACCCAGGCCCGGGCTGCAGTCAAGGATGGGAGGGGCTGCAGGAAGGAGGGTTCCGCCTTGAGGCCAACTCCAAGCTAAGCTCAGAAGGGGCTGGAGACATGCAGGATGGACAGACACATGGGGGAGGTTCCTGTTGCACACAACTGACCCGCCCCTGCCTCAGGACCCACAGGGTACTTACCCCCTCTGCACCTTGAGAACTTTTTGACACTGTAGTGCTTCACCACACACCCTCACATCCACAGGTAAACAGCAACTCTCTCCCGAAGTCCGGGTACCACACCCCCTTCTCCCCAGCCCACAGGCACACCCAGCTACTGGAAAGCCATCCATATAAGCACTTAGGCACGCATGACACGGGCCTGCCAGACACTGCTGGATGGTCAGCTGCTGTAGCTGCGGGCTCTTACCAACAAGCAGCTTAGTGGGGCTGGAGAACAGCACAGCGCCCTGCACACAGCCACAGCAGCTGAGGCCGAGGGATCAGCTTTGATGGCATCGCAAGGGCACTCATATTCCACACCCTGTCCTGGTAGAGCCTAGATGCAGCAAACACGGGGTCAGCCAAGTGGGTCCAAGAGCCAGGGCCTGTGCTGGGCTTCACTGAGCTCATCAGGCTTCAGGCCAGCTCACAGGGGCCAGCCCAGGGCCTGGAGGCTTCCTTCAGCTTCGCATCCTGGGCTTGAGACTGAGGGCGGCAGGCTCTCAACATGGGGTGGGGTACAGGTGCCATCTCCAGTCGTAACAGGGACTGCACCAGCCAAGTTCCAGAAAGCAGACCCCAGCTCTGGCCGGGCCGCTTCCTTTGCGGATCGTGAAGCTGAGGTCCAGAGGAGGGCAGGGGCAGGTCCTGGGAGCTCCCCAGGCAAAGGGAGCCGATCTCGGGGCTGGGGTCACAGGGCTCCACTCCTGTGATCTCTAGGGCCCTAGAGCCGGGAGGAGAGACTGGGGGGCCTTTCGTCCGCCGCTGGGGCTGGGCAGAGGCTCAGCCTGGGCCGCAACGCGAAGCTGCTTCTGTGCAGTCCGAGCCGCGGCCCCTTTAAGAAGGGGTGGTGCTTCAGCCAGTCACTAGGGACGCTGCCGGCGTGCGCGCCTCTACGGAAGCCGAGACGGCGCTTTCCGCGGGGCCCGGGCAGAAGCCGCGGCGTCGTTGAAGCGAATGGAAGCGGCGGCGATGTGGTCGGAGCGAGCGAAAGCGGCGGCCAGAGTCTGGGGCGTCGTCCTAGTGGGCAGAAGCGCAGTCGACGTCCCAGCGAGCAGAAGCGACCGCGCGGTCCCAGCCGGCAAAAGCGGAGGCCGCGTCCCAGCGAACAGAAGCGGCGGCGTCCAGAAGCGGCGAGCTTCGGAGAAGCCGTGGTGGCTTCCATGTGATGGAGGAGCAGGAGGGACGCTTCCGCGGTAAGTGGCGGGGCATGGACCCCCCCGGAACCCTCCGGGCCTCCCTGCTCCTTCCCCACCGCTCGCTTTTGGGCCCTGACTCCTTGTGGGCATCTGGGCCCCAGTAGTCTGCGTGGCGGTGGTTGTGGGGTCCTGGCCGCCCCGGCGTGCGCACCCTGGCCGGGAACGGTGTGCGACCCGCGTCCAGCCTATAGGAGCACCTGGCCCAGAGGCCGGTGAAGCGCGGGACCTGGGACCCTCCGAGCCCCCGGCCCTCTGAGCTGAGGTCCAGGGTTATATGATGTTTCGGGACCTTTAGAGAGAGACCTCGCTAGAACCCAATAGAACAGGTGACATTTGTAGTGTGAATTCTTTGAGGAGTCTCCAGGTAGTTCGCTGTTTTCCGAGGTGTCTATTCTGATTCTCATTTACAGTGTATGAGTTCCCTTCTCTCCAAAACCATACCCGTGTTCCTTTTTTTTTTTTCCTTTGGAGACAATCTCGTTCTGTCCCGGCGGGAGTGCAGTGGTGCCATCTGGCCTCCCTGCAACCTGCGCTCCCGGGTTCAAGCAATTTTCCTGTCTCAGCCTCCTGAGTAGCTGGGACTACAGGGGCCCGCCGCCACGCCAGGCTGATTTTTGTATCAGTAGTAAAGACGGGGTTTCTCCATATTGATCAGGCTGGTCTCAAACTCTTGACCTCAGGTGATCTGCTGCCTGGGACTCCCAAAAGTTCTGGGATTACTGGCGTAAGCCACCGAGCCTGGCCTCTCCTGTTTTTAAAAAACTTTCTAGGAATATTCAGTAAGTGTGAGATTATGTGTGGGTTTCAATTAAACCACACACAGTTAATTAACTGTTGGATAGTTAATTTTGAGGACCTTTTACCTGTTGTTCGATTTTCTGTCGCAGAATTGTCTGTTCAGGTCCTTTGCGAAATATTAGATTCTTTTGCTACTTTGTAGTGTTTTTTGTGTACACCTTAGATGACAACTCATGAATTACATGATTACCTGAAATTTTTGCCTAATCTATAGGACGCTTTTTTAATTTGGAAGGTAGTTTCTTTGCCGTGCAGAAACTTTTCAGGTTGATGTAGTCCATGTTTATTTTTGCGCTTTGTGCATGTAATTCTGGTCACCCATATAAGAAAATACTTCTCAGTGACAAAGCATTTAATTGTCAAGGAGGTTTTCCTTCCAGGGTGTTTGTTTCTTTCTCTCTTTGCAAAGGTGAGCAGAGTCACGTGACCCAGAATATATGCTCAACCTGTGTTTTAGTTAAAACATTTTGTGCTATATGGTCTTTTGTTCTGGTCTTTGGGGGTTTTTTTGGTTTGTTTGTTTTTTGCTGGAGGGGGTTGATTTTCATATATCATGTAAAATCAGGGTCCTGTTTCTCTCTTCTGCATTCAGATAACATTTTTCTCAAAGGTATTCATTGAGCAGACTCTGCCTGCCACACTGCGGTGGTCTTTATCAGAGTGAGTTGACTGTGTCCATATTTGCGTTGATCTTATTTTGGCCTCCCCATTTTTATCCACAATTCTAGGTATTGATTTTATCCAGGTACCATATATGTGCTGCATGACTGCGGCTTGGCAGTGTGATTTAATATCCAGGATTGTGGGTCCTCACTTTGATTGAATTTCTCAGGATTCCTTTAGATATGAATTGCCTTTATGGTTCCCTATGATTTTTAGCAATATGTATTTATTTCTGTTAACTTTTTTTCACAACATAAAGGTGCATAATTAGGGGTACATTTTCACACGTATAGATTGGGTAATGATCAAATCAGGGTACTTAGGATCTCTGTTCCCTCATAAGGTATTATTTTTCTGTGGCGAGAACACATAAAATTCTCCTTTCTTGTTCTTTTGAAAAATATAATATTGTTAACTCTGGTCACCAGGCTGAGGAGGAGAACACTCAGTTTGATTCCTTTAAGGTTAAGATAACTTTGCTTCCATAACCAATCCCTACTCCCCCTCTATCTTCCAGACAGACCCTGGTAGCCAATACTGCGCTTTCTACCTCTTTAAGACAGACATCTTAAGATTCAGTGTTTGCCTTTCTTGGCCCAGCTCATTATGTTTAACATAATGTTTTCCAGGTTCATCTGGGTTGCTCCACATGACACTGTTTCATCGTTTTGGTGGCCGAAGAATATTCCCTAGTGTATGCATATGAGAGTGTCTAGATCCCTTTATCTGTGGATGGACAGGTTGGTTGAGTGTATACCCAGTAGTGGGAATGCTAGCTGGTATGCTATTTTTCCTTTCTATTCTTTGCAGGACCCCCAACTGTTTATAGCATTAATACTAATATACGTTTCCACAAACAGTTCCCTTTGTGGAAATTCAAACTAGAAGTTGTCTTTTTAAATATTTTAATCTGTTTGTAATGTTCATTCTAGTTGGAGTGAGATAAGATCTGAGTGTGGTTTTGATCTTCATTTTTCTTGTGCATAGTAACGGTAAACCACATTTTTGCAAATGTTGCATCAGTTTCTTTGTCTGCACAAATATCTCTTCAGGTTATTTGGTTTGGTTATTTTTCTCCTTTTTTTTTTTTTTTTTTTGCCAGCCGGTAGTGTTACTGGCTTGTACCTTTTCAAAAATAACCCCTTATCCAACTGAATGTTTGCCCAAACGTTTCTTACGGTTTTTAGTATGCTTTTCATTTTGTTCATTGTTTGTTAGACACAAACTCCTCAGTGTGACGTGGCCCCACATGTGTATGATTTCTTGGTTAGCTGTGCTGTTGGTTACTAATGAAGAAAAAACTCATTACTACCAAAGCAGTCCATTGTCCACGATTTTTCTTTTCCCTTGTATTTTTGTTTTTGCAAATCGTGAGATACATCCAAGTTGCAATAACTATCTGCACCCGAGGTTGTCTTTATAGGAGCTTTATGGTGCAAGTTTTTGTGTATAATCTTTAATCCTTTTTCAGTGATTATTGTGTAGTTCATACCATGAGGTCCTGTACTATTCTTTTTGCATATGGATACCTAGTTTTGAAAACATTCCCCTTGTGTCAGTTTGGTAGTGTTTTGAAAAAGTATTCACCTATATAAATTTCCGTTTATTATTTAAACGCCCCTCATTTTGCTCACTGGTCCTGTGTTTCTCTGTGTTTACAAGTAGCTATGGGTTGGTTAGGGATTTTCATTTAATTAGAAACTCAGGGAATGTGATACCTTGCCACATGGTTTGTGTTTCTCCAGGGTAACGTGGACATTCAGGGTGTTTCACATTTCCATATAA